GGCTGACGCTCGCTAAAGCCGCCAGGGATGAGGCCAGCTCGGCCCAGGCTGGCCCGGAACCGGAGCCGGGGCGGCAGCGCAGCACCAGGAGGAAGCGGACGGTTTCCCCCAGGTAGAGGTGGTTGCGGCGGGGCAGGGCCCGGTACCGGCCCGGTTCGCCCGTCAGCAGCTCCCGAGCGGCGAAAGGGACGGCGGGGAAATACATGAAATATTCGCATTGCGACTCCATGGCGCCGGGCCCCGCCGGGCCGGGCCGGGCCGCTTCCGGGAGCTTTCCGGTTCCGCTTCCGGTGCGTTTTCCGGTTCTGTTGTTGTTATGGCGACCCTTCCGTTCCACTTCCGGCGCAGTCAATCCCTACTTCCGGCGCAGCGCTGCCGTTGCCAAGGCAACCCACCCACTTCCGGCGCATCCGCCTTTATTTCCGGCACAGCCTTGCCGTTGCCGAAGTGACCGGGCGCTTCGCTGTGACGTCACCACACCCCGCGGGGTGGGGCGGGCGCACCGAGTGATTGACAGCCCAGCTGGCCAATCAACGTTCTATTGCCAGTTTTTATTGCCAGAGATACGGAGGGGGGTGACGGAGTGGGCGTGGCTCTCGTAAGCCACGCCCTCGTAGCGGACCTATTGTATGAATGGGGAAAACGGGGGCATCGACCCGACACCCACGTGGGGAAACTCCCGTTGTGGGAGTGGGGAAACTGAGGCACGGGGCGGTACTGCAAAGGGGGAACAGCGCTGTCACGTGACACCCCCCCCCCCCATGGGGAAACTGAGGCACAGTTCTGAACCGTAGTGATGCGTTACCTATAGGGGAACTGGGGCACGGGCCATCCCATAATGCTCCATTACCCATAGTGATTCATTACCCATAACGCTCCATTACTCATAGGGGAAACTGAGGCATGGGCCATCCCATAATGCCCCATTAGCCATAGTGATCCATTACCCATCTTCTATGGGGAAACTGGGGCACGGGCCATCCCACAATGCTCCATTACCCATAGGGGAAACTGAAGCACGGGGCCATCCCATAATGCTCCATTACCCATAATGCTCCATTAGCCATAGGGGAAACTGAAGCACAGGGCCATCCCATCATGCCCCATTACCCATAATGCCCCATTACTCCTATGGGGAAACTGAGGCACGGGTTTGTTCCGGTGGGGGATCCATGGCTCCCAGTGGGGAAACTGAGGCACATCGCCGTACCGTAGTGATCCATTACCCCTACGGGGAAACTGAGGCACAGATTTGTTCCAATAGGGGACCCATTGTTCCCAATGGGAGATCTGTGGCACCCAGTGGGGGATCCAGGACACCCAATGGGGGATCCATGGCTCCCAGTGGGGAAACTGAGGCACAGGGCTGCCCAAATGGGGGATTCACGACTCCCAGTGGGTGATCCATGGCACCCAATGGGGAAACTGAGGCACAGAGCCGTACCGTAGCAATCCATTACCCCTATGGGGAAACTGAGGCACAGGGCTGCCCAGTTGGGGTAACCATGACTCCCAGTGAGGGATCCACGGCACCCAATGGGGGATCCATGACTCCCAACAGGGAAACTGAGGCACAGGGCTGTCCAAATGGGGGATTCACGACTCCCAGTGGGGGATGCATGACTCCCAATGGGGGATGCATGATTCCCAATGGGGAAACTGAGGCACAGGGCTGCCCAGTGGGGGATGCATGACACCCAGTGGGGGATGCACGTCTCCCAACGGGGAAACTGAGGCACAGAGCCGTACCATAGCGCTCCATTACGCACAGGGGAAACTGAGGCACAGGGCTGCCCAGTGGGGGATCCATGGCACCCAATGGGGGATCCATGACTCCCAACAGGGAAACTGAGGCACAGGGCTGTCCAAATGGGGGATTCACGACTCCCAATGGGGAATGCATGACTCCCAGTGGGGAAACTGAGGCACAGAGCCGTACCGTAGCGCTCCATTACGCACAGGGGAAGCCGAGGCACGGACCGACCCGCTGGGATCCCCACATCTCCCGGCGGGGTCCCCGAGGCCCAGCCCTACCCTGCGCTCCCGTTGCCCCCAAACTGCTTCCTCTCCAGCCGGTCCTTGTACTGCAGCTCGGGGGTCGCCATCCTCTCGCACCTCTCCCTCTCGGCCGGCCCCAAATCCGCCCTGAGCGCGTAGCCGACCACGGCGGCCGCCCCCCGACCGGGCTGGAAAGGCTTCAGCTTCCCGTCGGTGATGGAGGGTCCCGGCAGGGGTCCCCCCCCCCTCAAACAACGCCTGGCCAAAGCCTCGCGCCGCCCGCGCAGCCGCTCCACCTCCTCCCGCATCCTGCGGGGGCCGAATTCCGCCACCTTCCTCCAAAAGGAGCGGTTGAAGTGGACGTAAAGAGCCCAGTCCAAGGCGTTCCATTCCCTCAGCCTCTCCGTCTCCCGGCCGGATAAAGGGCGGACGGAGTTTTTCGCCCTGCCGTTTTGGGGAAAAGCCACGACGGCTTCGCGGGGCCAGCAGAGCGCGTGGCGCAGCAGCACCAGCGACTCGTCGAAATATTCCGCCAGCAGGACCAGGGGGAAAACGGCGTCCAGGGCTCCGATGGCCGCCGTCACCGCCGTGCCGTTGGACGGGGAGACGTCGGGGAGGCCGAAGTCGAACCACAGGAGGTTGCGGGCGTAGTGGTTGCCTTTGAGGCCGGGTTGGTAGTAGAGGGACGGGGACAGGAGGAAGGCGGAGCGGGACGGAGCGCGGCGGAAAGCCGGCACGGCGGCGCGGTAGTAGGAAAAGGCCGACTCGGCGGCCGTGGCCGGGTCGCGGGCGATGGAGAAGTAGAAGCTGTCGGGGGGCATCACGCGGCGGACC